GAATGGGAGGGTGGGAGGTCTGCTTATTGATATTTGTGCTGAGCAGACATCTGACACTGACTGGGCCAAGCACAGGCATACCCTTAAGATGAGAAGATACATGAGAATCCAACTAGGTCCCTCACCTGAGGCACTTTAGGGGATCTGGTTATAAAAGGAGAATGAAAGGCACGATGACAAGGTAATAGTGCAATTAGGAAAAAAAGAGAGAGGGCATTTTAAACTAGTCAAAACCAGACAAATTCTATTAATGAGAATCTTTCACCTCCAGGTCATTGTATCGTATGTCCTTGTGGAGTTGATTAAGTGAGAGTTTCAGGAGGATGGGAAAAGAAAGAGGAAAGTTGAAATAATTTTTTTTTTTTTATTTGAGGCTAGTAGACTTGATGCATGAACAACAATTATCTACACACTATCTGGGTATCAAAAGAGTAGCCAAAATATTGGAACTATGCTACCATAGGTAAAAAGACTCGGAGATGGAGGCAATAGATTAGAGAGCTTTGACATTCCACTTGTCTGTACGCTCAATTCTTCAAGAAGGGGAGGGCTTCATGCTTCTTCTCATTGTCTCCAGATGCCATTAAAGAATAGTCCCTATAGACCGAAAACTCATCCGTTTTTGTCTGCCGAAAGAGCAGCGCTTTGTGTCCAGGTGTGGGTGTGAAGGAAGGGGGACAATGAACGTGTTTTGCAGGTGTCAGTCAGACTGTAGAGATGTTCCTAAGGAAAAAGTAAGAGAATATTGATGAGAATGGTTGTGCCTTTTTGTAAGTAATCATCTGTCAGTATTAGCTGTATTTTATTTAGTTCTTCCTCTCGCCTCCTATTTCACAGAGAGATTTCTAGCACTCAGCATTTCTCTGTGACTGTGATGTATCTAACACCCCGCTCTGTTCCTAGAATTGTTCTGCTAGTATGGGAGAGCTTGCTTATCACCTGTATGATCAGGTGGATTGCTTAGATCAACATCTGCAAGAAACCTAATGCTGGTAACCTTTCATGTTGCCAAATAGAACAGACAAATCAAACTTACCGAGCAGGGAGTGTGCAATTAATAACCTTCATCTTTAAGTGTTTTTAACTGCTTTACTTCAGCAGCTTTAAAAATCTTTCATACTGCAGTCAGACTTCTTGCTTTATATTCAGTGTATTTTTATTCTTTATTAGTTTCATTGCTTCCAAAAGCTTTATGTCAGCAGGGTAAACTTTGGCAGAAAGTCTAGCTGCTAGCCCTGAAGAGAGATTAGTCTTTGAGCAACAACACTGTCTGAAAAATGGAGAGATTTATTCCCCTTAATCTTAAAAGTCCCTGTTTTTTCAATATCAAATTGTCAGATATGTGAGGTAATAGTTATTTTTAATAAATACTTGTACAGCTCCTGGGACAAGGATTATCTAATCAGTATTATTTATTTACTGGAATAATTATTATTTAATTAGTGTTAATAACTATTTTATCAATTATTTTAAATATTAATAATTCCCTACTTTGTCAAGTCGAGGTAGTCTTTATGTTATGGACCCGTATAGCCAACGGTGTTCCTATCTCAAGGAGCCTACGTTCAAAGAGCCAATCTCTTAACAAGTGGACGTGACAAGCAAGTAGACAGAACAGCGGGTACGATGGAGTAATATTAGTAACAGGATGGTTTAGTATAGACTATCAGTGTGAAAACAGGGAATCAGTTGATGGTATCTGAAAGCAATTGGTTCCCTATGTTTGTTAAGTCAGGTGGAGGACAGGATATAACAGCTGTTCTGATTTTTACAAGAAGTTTCTCCTGCTTGGTAAGAGTAGAGGAAAGCACAAAGAAAATCAGGGGCTAAAGAGAAGGAGAAGGTGATTGCAGCAGGATATTTGTCTCCACAAGGGAAGTTCATGTCATATAAGTCAACAGAATGAATGGTTGAGACAGAGTGAAGTCTGAGTAGCTGAATGTTTGTGGTAGTAAAAGGAGAGTACATGAAGTTAGGTCATATTAGCAAAGTAACATGGAAAAAAGATTATCTGTGTGCACAGTTAAGTGGAGGTGGTGATGATCAAAGCATGAGAGAACCTGGTGTGGACAGAGAGATCTTGGTACAAGAACGAACAGCAAATTTTTTGGTATAGCTTTCCAAGCTTTTAGAAATTCAAAGAAGAAACTTCAGCAGTAGTCGTCTGATGATCAGCAACAGTGATCTGATCTACTCTCATAATAAAAAAGAAAGAGGAGTTTTCAGTTTAAAAAAAAAAATCACTAGCATGGTTTTCTCTGTGTTGAGTTTTGGTTGAGCTCCTGAGGAGACTTTCTGATCCTAATTCTTCTATAGTGATGATAGAAAGTTTTTGCTTGCATGTTCTATGAGTCTCTTAATTGTTACATGCACTTTAAAAAGGAAAAAAAAAAAAACCAAAAAACAGCTGGGCAGTAGTTGTTATGATATACGTATTGCAATAAAACGTTATCTGGGTAACATCCTTGTCTTCTTGAATTAGTGTGTTTTACAAAGTTTATCTCTTCATGCTAAAAAGAAATTGTGCTGTTGCAGAGCTATCAAGATTATTATAAATCATTTAACTATGGCAAAATTCCATTGTCCTTCTAGGAGTATGGTAAAATAAACATTTACACTCATCTTTCTTGTACAGTATAATACAAATTATCCTACAACAGACAGATCTCTTAACAAAAACTACTGATAGTTACAAGAGCCAGATCTGAAGTTATTGTAATTTGAATTGTTTTATTGAACACTTCCAGAAAGATTATTTAAGTAATCATAACCTGCATTTTGCATGGTTTGATAGTAGAGAAGCAGAAGTTACTTCCTTCACAAAGTTACCAAAACTGGCATGGGACTGTTTTTTTAATACAATTTTTCCTCTCTTTCTAGTTACGTGGTGAACATTGGATTGATAGACAAGCTGTGTTGCTGTTTCCTCTCTGTTCAAGGCCCTGTCGATGAGAATCCCAAAATAGCAACTTTTCTACAAAATGCCACAGCAGTGTTGCATGGAATATGTCGGCTGTGTTTTGCTGTCAACGGAAGGTAGGTGCACTTGGTCTGTCATCTGTAATACGTTCTTCAAGCAGCAGCCGTTGTAACCCCGTGCCAACACCGCGCATGCCAACACCGCCTTCATGGAAGCGAGCGTTCTGATGAGGCTGTTAAACAGAACTGTTCTTAGTCACACGGTAACAACCGGTAAAGAAACAGGGCAGGAAATTCGCTCTGCTCACCCTTTCACCATTGAACTGTAATTAGTTACCTGCACTGAGTCTTGATTCTTGTAAGTCATTTATCAGAATTGCAAACTTTATCTCCTTTACTCGTCATTACAGAGAGGGTTTTATCACTACTAATTTTAAGTGTCCAGTCCTAAGGACTTCAAGAGGTATTTTATTATCAGCTAAAATCAACTCTTAATTGATTTGTCTCTAGAGCAGCCTAATTCTTTAAAATACCAGTGTTAGTAAGGGAATCATATTTTCTGTAAAGAAAAGTGTTACTGGATTTGTCAGGGAATTTTCTAATGCAAAATGTTCATTATAGTAACCTAACCAGGGTTGTGGGGAGTAAGCATGAGGTATGTGTCCACTAGCAAATCTGCACTTCTGTAATCTTCGTCGTAGGACAGCTTGACACTGAGAGAGTCAAAATTTCAAAGCTTTGGAGTCCACATACTAGAACCTACCACCTTTAGACCGTTACGCATTTCAGGAAAAGACAAGGCTGACAGAACTTTACAATGAATTCCTGAAGAGTAAAATAATGCGAGGATTTAAAAACTAGAGTTAATAAAACATAAAATAAGAAACAAAGCTGTAGGTAAGAGCTGTTGCTGGTAACTCGGGGACACAGGCACATGGAAAAACAACTGCAAGAAATATGAGCCCAAAGAGACCATCCCAACTTACTGAAATTTCCCTTTCTGAAAGCTGCCAACTTGGCGTTTTACATTCCAGGACAGCACTGCCAAAAGTCAGATGCATACTAAAAAAAAATTAAAAAAAAAAAATCACCCTTCTCTTAGTGGAATAATAGTTCTGGCTACAAGAGTGAGTAGTATAATATTTGCCATTTCTGAAGCAGGCACATGCTTCACTCAAGTAGTAGAGATCTTTGCACCTCAAAATACTACAGCACTGTGCAAGTATTTCTTCCAAGAACATCTGTGCTTTGTAGCAGAATAATAATTTTGGAAGACTGAGTGTTTTTCTTCACAGTTACACCAAGGAGTATCTGTTCTCACTACCTGCATATAACGAACAACGCTTTCGATTGTATCCAAAGTTGCTGATTGTTCCCGATTTCCAGGTTGGATTGTTCATTTGAACATGAAAAGAAACAAGAGGAATGAACTTGGAGATTTCAAAGCTGTTGTCTTTCACTTTTAGATCAAAAGCTTTGGTGTAACTGATTAGAAGGGCAGTTTAAATTCAATGTCTTTCATCACCTGAGCCCACTCTCTTTTAAGAAGTGAATGCGGAGTGTAATTCTGTCACGGTACAGGGTGATTTAAATGGAAAAAGGTATTGCCAAACGCAGATCAAGGTGGCAGAAACAGAGCTCAAATTTATTGAATTCTTAACTATGTCACAGTACGGTGGTACGTGTTGTGTGACACATGATCTGCAGCACAAAGGGCGACCTCTCTTTGTGCGAAATACAGCTGCCTCTTTATTCCTGGTAAATAGTAGTAGGAGGCAATGCAGCCTGTCCAGTCGGAATCCAGCATTTCCCGTTCTCCAGCTCAGTCGATGCATCCTCGAGCACCCAGCAAACATGCTGTATGTTACTCCTCTGTACGGCAGAGTAACTAACCGCTCTGATCATAAAACTTTTGAAGTTGTTCCTGAAAGGAAAAAAGTCTAGTAAGTACTACCAGTGCTCTGACAGCGTAGCATGAAAAGAAGTTTTCGAAATATCAGGCTTTCACTGTTTTTGCAAGAGCAATTTTGAATTGTTCTTTTGATATATCCTCCTATTTAGAATGTTTCCAGGTTGGGAACTTTATGCTCCCTCATGGTGATCATGGGGGACACAAAATTAATTTGTTTTTTTCTGATAAAACTATTCCAGGCTATTATTTATCATATACAAAGTTTTCATTCCATATTAAATGCATTAGAAGATTTTTATACAGTGCTCTTTGTAATGCACACAGATCTTAGTGTACTGTGCCACTGAGTAGCATAGTGGGAAGCTGATGGGACAGTGGGTGCTGCTGGGTGGCTGACACACCAGGACCACCTCGGAGCTCCCAAGCCATCCGCAGCTCCTGCAACAATGAAATCCTTTATGAGTAGAAGCGGCCAAGCGCTGCATGATCCTCCTCCTTTGCTTTCAGACCCCACCAGGCTGTTACGAACTTTACTGGAACTGTAATCTGCGATATCCTCAGAGGGACAGAAGTTACATGCTCCAACTCAAGTTTTCAATGATTAAGAGATCCTGTCCTGTGGGTACAAAGTGTGTTAGGCCACTTCTGGAGCTCCGATGTAGGAAGAGCTGTCAGTCCAGACTTTCCTGTCTTCCTCACAAGAACGTTTCATAAAACTCCCAAACTTAGTGGAATGTTTCTAAACTGAGCTCTGCACCGATACCCGGTGTTTATTTGGCAGTTACTTTATAGAAAACAAATTTGTAGGCAGGGAAGAGATCTCAGTGAAGCACCTACTTCCTGAAGTGCCTACCTGCATGTACCTCTGCATCAGGCAGGATGTCACAATAATGATTACTAGAAAATAGCCTCAGATTGTATCAGATACATGTGTTGGCATTAAGTATTAAATGAGGTGTGTGGCTGATATAATGTAGCTGATAGAATTTTAAGACATAAACTGAGATACTCTTTTTTTATTCCCATGGTAGACTTAGAAAAAAAAAAAAGCCCAAAGTCATAGAGTTAGATACAATAAAGGAAAGTCTTGCTAATGTAGAAACATAAATTGGAGGTTTCTCAATTTTAACATCATAAAAAGTTATTGGAATGAGGGAATCCATTCTCAACTTATGTTATAAACATATCTTATAATAAGAGAGGGATTTTCTTTTCATTAATGGTCAAGGCCTTTAAAAAGATTTAACTTTGATATTGATCTTACTTCTCAAATGATCATTTTTGGTACTGGCTAATAAATGCTAGATTGATTCTTTTAATTGAAGTTTTTCTGTGGTTGTAACAGCACATTTTCCAAATACTGTGTAACAGATATGAGAGATCATTTGTTGAAAATGTTAATAACTTGTAACCCCATGTGAACCTTGTTTTGATAATTTTTATACCCTCTTCTGTTACACAGTAGGAATCAGTGAGAGTGATTTGAGACCTCCAGCTGGAAGTCCCGTTTTTCTTTTGCTGTGTTGCATCCATTGCTAGCAATGGAGGTGAGAGCTTCTTTCTCCCAGATGAGTTAAAAAAGGGTGTATGAGAGCTGAAAATATGGTACTGTCCCTTATTGCATGTAGTGAGAATTCATAAAATACAGCAGGTTTGAATATCTAGCTATTTCTGTTTGCTGAGCAAAAGGCCAACCTGACATTTGATACTTGGGCTTGAAAACTGTGGCCATGATAGTGCTTACCTGTGTTTTACTGGTTATTAAGGTAACAGTAGCCAGAATTGAAAACAGAGACATTTTTATTAAATTGAAATAAAGCACAAAATATTAGACTTTATACAGAATAACATTGGTTTATATGGCCATATGAATCTGTCTTGCAATTTGTGTCCAAGTCAGATGTCCATTAGCAATGTTCAGGACAGCAGCTTTGTTCTCCAGAGTTTATTATGGTAACTATGAGAGATAAGGCCTATTTTGGGCTCTTGAGTCCAAAATATATGTATGGAACATGCTTGGCTTGTAAACAAAAGACAGAAAACAATGAGCAGGCATGGAATGCAAGGAGCATTAATAAAAATATGGCCATGCCACTTCAGCTCACCCTTCCTTGAAAGGAGAAGTGAAGACTAAGTAAGAAAATATATGGCAAGTCCTTCATCAGCATAACGAGGATCTTGCTTACGTTCCTGTCTTTTCCTGCACTGCCCGGTGTTCATCAATCTCTTTTTTCCTTACAAGGCCCTGGAATGAAGATTTCTGTCCAAGAAGTTTAGTTGATACTCTGTAGAGGACGGTCGTTCATGTCTTATTTCACTTTTGTCCATTAGTATGGATGAAGAAATTCGTATTAACCCCAGAGTGAATGCAAACAGCAGGAGGAAAGTATCAGTAGTAGTGCAGTGTAAGAGTTAATCACTGAGGAAGAATGTTCTCCCCAAGAGCAGTACCTTGGACTGGCAATAACACAGACACAAGCAGGAGAGTGAGTTGTGCAGAAGGACAACATCGCAAATAATAATCCCTCAAATCATGTCGCTTCTTGAGACATCAACTTTTTCAAAATTTTACTGTTTTCTTGATGTAAGAAATGTTTGCAAGTTCCCCCATTCATCTAGGAAAACAGAGTGTCGTAGCAGGACGGTAGCTCGATTGTTAGTTAGGTGTTATCTCACAGCAGCACTGGGATACCTATAAATCTGTGTCAACTGCTAATGAAGTCGTGGATTCCAAGCTGCAGCAGCGGAATGCTGCAGATAGACAGGGTTTGATCCAGGAAAATAGTGACTGTCGTGTCACAGATACGCGAGGAAGTAGGCTGGTCTGTTTTCAGTTTTATTACAGTAATTAAGATAATGTCTGTTTTGGCTGCCAGGTGGCCAATCAGACACAAGTCTGCCCGAACGCTGGCTGTGCTTCTCACCGCTTCCCATGGACAGCAGGCCCAGCAAGCACTGCCAGTGAACTAAAACTTGTTCTTGAAATTACTGGAAGGGTTCAGATCGCCACTTTTACACAGTACTGCGATTCCTAGCTTGGCAGTGTGAGTTACAACAAAGTCTGACAGGTGCTAAATACTTCTGTATTTTTCTTTTATTATTATTTTGCCTCTTTACGTTGACATCTCTTTCTAAATAAAATAATTTAGAAGCAAAAAGTACAGATGATAGGTTTTAAATCCTAATAATAAAAAAAACAACAACA